CCACATCTCATCCCCCTGCAGGCCCAGTGCAGTCATGAGATGTCTTCGGTGGTGAAGGGCCATGCCAAGTTCAGAGATAAAATGTGAACAAATAGGCATCTTAGAACTGAAGAACGGCCCTATTATCCGACAAAGAGTTTAGACGGAGTTCGGGGAGGCCACTTCCAGCGTGCTCACAGATAGATTTGTTAGAGACGGGGTGGGATGCCCTCGGTGTTCATGGACCTCAGTTCTCTGGCCGTGGGGAAGTTCAGCCTGGACGGGTGCTTTCTGGGGATGTTGTGGCAGGACGTCAAAGTCCTCCAGGTGCTTTGCATTAAATGACCTCGGGCAGCCCCACCTTCCTGACGGGGAGATCGTGGGAGACTCTCCGAGGACACAGGAGACAACCTGGGCTCTTGTGGGGGAGCAGACCCGGAGGTTCTCGAGACCTCCCCGGTTTTGCTTGGCTCTCAGAAGATTCCTTTTTGGATGGCTGGTTTTGACGGCCCAGTGAAGGTCTCATCACTCATACTTTCTGCTCTGTTTCTGTCCAAAGAGTGAAGGATAGGGCGAAAAAACTGTTGAGTTTTGAGACAGCTTTCAGCTGTCATGAATAAGGAAAGCATTTACATTTCCCGTGAAATCGTGGATCAACTTGACATTTGTAGAAACCACGAGGAAGCTGCTACGCTCAGTCCCCGACTCAGCTGGTGCTAATGCGTGCTGACGCTCTCTGATGGGAAGGGTGCACGCAGCACGCCCCGCTTTCCCCGCCAGAGCTTCGAATCCGAGTCGGCGAGAGGCCCCGGGGGCTGACGATGGAGGTCACAATGCAAGCTTCGTTGCTAGCAGAATCCTGGAGACAGAGGCAACAATGGGCTTTCTAAAATTATTCCCCGGAATTAGGCTGCTTTTTATACTCAGCCTCTGATAGTGCTGGGGGAAAAAAAAAGTTTTTCTTTTTGGGCTAGGACCTTATTCTATATGGCAGGAAAACCCACCTTCCCTCTACCAGCAGGTATGGGCTGGCTAAGGGAAGCAGAGAGGCACGCTCAATTAGCCTCATGCTCTGTCCCAGCCTCTCCCATGCGACGACTTGGAGGCTTTCTGTGTGTGTGGGGTGGGGTGTGGGGACGGGTAGGGACAATAGGCAAAGCAACAGGAGAGTTGAGGGAAATTTTTCTTCAAGGGGACCTGTGGAGTGAGAAATAAACATTCCCGCCTCGTGAGCCTTTCCTCGTTTGAAGCTTGTTTCTTGGGTGGGGGGAGGCCAGGGAGGGTGAACCTCTATCCTTTATCATTTTGGAAGCATCACACACGTCTGCGTTAAATATTATATTTGCAACCTTTCATATAATAAAAAAATATAAATAACCCTGACCTTGATGTTTGGGGCAAAAAAAAGTGGTGTATCCCATCAAAAGGAGACCTTGATTGTATTGCATAATAACGTGATGATGAAGCAATCCTCGAAATGTGTTCTTTAGACACATCCGTGCAGGGTGAACTAGCCGTGTGAACTTGGCCCCGTCCTGTCGCCTCTCTGGGTCCCTTCGCCCTCAGGGGTTAACCCGGTTTTCTGTCCTGTTGGATGGCCGCCCAGATCCCTTCCTTCCCTCCCAGCCCCTCAGACTCTGCTCTCCCAGCTCCAAGAACAATAATGACCACAGAAAGTATCGTCTTTCCCTAGATTGCGATCTTCGTAACTTCACCTGTGTGCGCAGGCAAACATCAGAAGCAGCTGAAGCAGAACACAGGATCTACGGTGATGTCAGGGGGCGCTTCCTTGAAACCTGCCGTTGAGATAAACTTTCAAACAAATAGCGTTTGTGTGTCGGGAGGGAGGCGGGCGAAGGTGGTGCGGCGTGAAGCAGAGTCTTTATTCAAGGTCTAAGCTCCCATTTCCTGGGACAGGGAGAACTTTGTCTTTTTTGGAGAGCCTGCCCAAAGTGCTTGCCTGTGCTGTCACTTGAGGACCGGGAGGAAGAATGGGATGGGTGTGTCTCAGCTGCTTCCTTCCTAAACCCCTCAATCCCTCTCTTCAACCACCGCTGTGACCCCTGTGGCTTCTGGCTGGGCTCCTCCACAGGAGCCAGCCTGCACATATGTGTGCCTATGCACACGAATGCACACACACACAAGACCAATCGCACATCTTTCTACCACTGAGCTGAGTGAGGACAAAGTCCCCCGAGAGGAAGGGACCATGGGCTTTATCACCCTCACACGGTGTCCACTTTTCCCGAAGATCACATCCTTGCCTCACCTGGGCACGCACCTGCTCCTCCCTTAAAGCCACCACAGCGTCTCCACTGCACTCTTCTTGCCCCAGTGGGACACTTAGTTTGTCTTCCCTTATGCCTGTCCCTTCTAGAACATGAGCTCTTTGAATGCAAGGACTGAAATGGATTTATGTTTGATTCCCTAGTCCTAAGCCCTGGCCTATAAACAGCAATCAGTTCAAGCATTTGGGGTTAAGGAACATAGTAAATACCATAGGGGTCTCTGCCCAACCCACAACCACCAGCAATTCCTGAGAACAGCCACTGCTCACTAATAGGGTGGACCCCTGGCAGCATATATAAACATGTATAAACTACCCGAGACTCCTCCTCTGGCAACACAGGGGAAGAAACCTTGACTCAGTTTGGGCTGATCAGATTCCCTCCAGCAGGTTGACAGGTGGGCTCAGCCTTCCCCTGAGGCAGGAGCTGAGATGGGAGGTGGTGCTCTTCCACCACCACCAGAATCTGCTATGCAATCTACATACAGCATGCAGATTGTATGTTTCTAGAAATTTGTCCATTTCACCCAGATTGTCTAATCTTCTGGCCTATAGTTGTTTGTAGTAATTTCTTACAATCCTTTGTATTTCTGTGGTATTGGTTATAACTTCTCTTTCTTTTCTGATTGTATTTATTTGGGTTCTCTCTCTCTTCTCTCTCTTCTGATTAAAAGTTTGAGTCTGGTTAAAAGTTTGTTAATTTTGTTTATCTTTTCAAAGAACCAATTCCTGGATGTATTGATTCTTTGAATTGTTCTTTTAGTCTCTATGCCATTTAATTCTGCCCTGATCTTGATTATTTCCTTCCTTCTGCTCACTTTGGGCTTTGTTTGTTGTTGTTCCTCCAGTTCTTTTAGATGTAGGGTTAGATTATTTATTTGAGAATTTTCTGTTTTCTTTAGAACTTCCCTGTCAGTGCTGCCTCTGCTGTGTCCATAGGTTTTGGGTTGTTCTGTGTTCATTGTCATTTGTTTCCAGATACTTTTTGATTTCTTCCTGGATCTCACTGTGACCCGTTCGTTATTTAATAACATGTTATTCCATGTCCGTGTATTTGAATGCTCTTGATTTTTTTCCTTGATGTTGGTTTCTAGTTTCAATCCATTGTGATCTGAGCACATGCTTGATATGATTTCAATTTTCTTGAGTTTGTTGAGGCTTCTTTTGTGTCCTACCATGTGGTCTAGTTTTGAAAATGGTCCAACTGCATTTGAAATGAATGCATATTTTGCTTCTTTGGGGTAAAAGGTTCTTTATATATCAGTTAAGTTCATTTGATCTAGAGTGCCGTTCAGCGACACAATATCCTTGCTGATTCTTTGTTTGGAAGATCTATCCATTGTTGACTGTGGGGTGTTAAAATCCCCTACAATAACTGTTTTGTTGTCAGTGTCTTTCTTGAAGTCCTCCAAGATTTTATTTATATATTTATGTGCTCCTATGGTGTGTGCATATATGTTTGCAAGGCTTATATCCTGCTGTTGGAGTATTCCCTTAAGGATTATGTAGTGATGTTCTTTGTCCCATTTTGTGGCTTTTTTTCTGAACTCTATTTTGTTTGATATAAATATTGTTATCCCAGCTTTCCTTTTGTGTACGTTTGCTTGGAATATTTTTTTCCATCCCTTCACTTTCAACCTGTGTAGATCTTTTGTCCTGATGTGGGTCTTTTGTAGACAGCATATATGTGGGTCCTGTTTTCTTATCCATTCAGCTACCCTATGTCTTTTGATTGGCACATTTAATCCATTTACACGATTGATAACTACTTATTTATTGTCAGTTTTTTCATATGTTTCTCTTTCCTCCCCTTTCTCTCTCTCTCCTTTTTTTGCCGTCCCTTTAGCATCTCTTACAGTACTGGCTCAGTGGAGATATACTCTTTTAGCCTTATTTTGCCTGGGAAGCTTATTATTTCACCTTCCATTTTAAATGAGAGCCTTGCTGGATAAAGTAGTCTTCATTGTAGGTCCTTGCTTTCCATTACCTAGAATATTTCATGGCATTCCCTTCTGGCTTGTAGTGTTTCTGTTGAGAAATCAGCTTACTGAAGCTCCTTGTATGTGACTAGCTGTTTCTCCCTTTCTGCCTTTAAGAATCTCTCTTTGTTTTTAAAATTTGCCATTTTAATTATGATGTGTCTTGGAGTGGACTTCTTTGGGTTCATCTTGATTGGGATCCTCTGTGCTTCCTGAACTTGCATGACCTGTACTATCACCAAGTTAGGGAAGTTTCCTGTCATTATGTTTTCAAACAGGTTTTCTATCCCTTGCTTCTTTCCTTCTGCTATTCCTATGATGCAAATGTGGTTACATGTCATATTGTCCTGAAGCTCCTTTAACCTATCCTCATTCTTTTTGTGTCTTTTTTCCTTTTGTTGATCTGACTGGGTATTTCTTTCTACCTTGTCTTCCGGCTCACTGATTCGGTCCTCTGTTTCATCTACCCTGATTTTAATTCCTTCTAGTGTATTTTTCATTTCAGATATTGTATTCTTCATTTCTTCCTGGTTCTTGCTCATAGTTTCTATGTCCTTTTTCATGCTGCTGTAGTTTCCACTCAGTTCCTTGTAGTTCTGAGTTCCTTGAGCATCCTTAGAACCATTATTTTGAATTTTGTGTCTGGCAGATTGCTCGCCTCAATTTCATTTAGTTCTTTTTCTGGAGATTCCTCCATTTTTTTCCATTGGGGGTTCTTTCTTTGTCTCCTCATTTTAGGTGACTCTTTTTGTTTAAAAAATATGGAGCACCTCATGAATTTGCATGTCATCCTTGCACAGGGGCCATGCTAGTCTCTGCATTGTTCCAATTTTAGTCCATGTGCTGCCAAAGCAAGCACTAATTAAAAATTTTTTAAATGTTAAACTCCATCCTTTATGGAGGCCAATCACTGATGATGAGAAAGTATTGGCAACTAATACAACACATAAAAGGATAAGAACTCCAGGATACGAACAGCACCTACAAATTAAGAATTAGAAGACAAACAATCTAACAAAATAAAGGGCATAGTTGAAAGGCCTGTTTGTTTGTTTGTTTGTTTGTTTGGAAAATACTGATTTTTACTCAAAGCAATCAGTAAGCAAAAGTCCTGAATATGAAGCCTATGAAATTCTGTGGCAATCAGCTTTTCTTAAACATAAGCTGCACAAGTTTGATATTGAATTCACCTAAGCTATTTTAACAACAGAGCCATCAAGAATGTGTTGAATAACCATTCAAATTCATTCCTAACTACTTGTCAGTAACACCTTTTCCCACACAGGTGATGGTGAGAATTGGTAAAATCCCAAACCCAGGAAGGGAACGCAAACAGTAGAACTTAATTATTTGCATCCCACTTTTCCTCTTCTCTTTCATTAGACTACTTAAAAGCAGGAATTGTCTCCAGTGCATTTTTGTATCTTGGTGTTTGTCACAGTGTAAAAAAGGAGGAAGGAACGAAGGGGATAAGGAAGAGAGAGGAGGAAGAAAGGAGGCAGGGAGGGAAGGAGAGTAGGAGGAAAAGACAAATGGGCAGATTCCATTCCTGGTGCAGTTCTGCCTCCAACCACATGATGGCGGCATGAGCATTGCAGCGCTCCAGCGCTTGCAAGTCTTGTCACTTTAAATCCCAATTCTTTGAAGCCAGGGCGCCTGGGTGTGTTGTGTTTGTGCCTGTGAGTCAAAGCTTTGCCCAGTGTCAGCACTGTCAGCTGAGTTGTATTGCAGGTGAACACGGGAATCTTCAAGGGTTTCGCGGTCTCTCTTTCTTGAAAAATCCCAACAGGAGCCTGATAGTAAAAAGGACTTTGCAGTTATTTTCAAATGGAGAGAATTGCCTTAAATACATATCATCTGCTCCCCAGGGTCTGCAGTGTGTGGGCAGGTCTTTCTGCTAATGAGTCACGGGCTTGCTGCTCCCAAGGCTAGGCTGGAGCAGTCAGCTGGTGGAATGCTGGGAACTGCAATCAGCAGCTCTGCACCAACATGCCCCGAATGAAAGTGTGATTTGTGACACAGCAGCCTGGGAAGAGTAACGAAAACATAATTGCTGCAGGCAGGTTGTTCTCTTCTTTCAATTGCAAAGCTGCTTCACCTCATACGTAGGAGAGGAACTGGGGTTCTTAGCCTTTGTTCCTCTAGGACAAGCAGAGGCACACCCTGCAACTGTCCTCCTGCCCCTAGTGGCTTAGGTGTTTCTTTGAACCCCAGAAAAAGGCTGTCCCCAGACCAGGAAGAACTCCGTGGCAGCCTGTCTATTCAAGCAGAACCGCCCCAGCCATGGATGCGGCTTTGGAACCTGTTCTTCCCACCCTCTGCTACTGCAAACATGCAGTGAGTGGTGGTTTTGCTTTTTTGCCTTTTGAAAAAAAAATGAATTCCTTGCACATGCACTTTTCTTTATAGTTTGTACACAGTTCTCATTTGGTCTTCATCACAGCTCAGAAAGGAGGCAGAGGCTATTGCTATGATGTTACAAAGAAGGGACACCGAGCATCAGAAGGGTGAAATGACATATCAGAATCTCCATGGCCCAGCTTGTAAAACAGCAGAGGGCTCCGAGGTGGGTAGCCTGGCCTGAATGTTCAGCCACTCCAAGTCACCTGACATGCCTGAGTCCCAGTTTCCTCACCTATCAAACGAACAGAAAGATGCCAGCCTCTTGGGGATTGGGGAGGGCCAAATGAAATACGCTGGGACACCTGCTGCGTCAGGGACTCAGTGGGAAAGCTGTGTATCAGGCACCTTTTCACACAGTGTCTGATCCTCCCACCCCCACGTCTGGGCAGGCGGCTCCTTGTAGTTTCAGCTGCTTTTGTGCACAGGTGATCTTCCTGCTCGGGGCTTCTCTGGCACACTGTAGAGCTCAGTTTAGCTTTGAATGATGGGTTATCTGAGAGGTTCGTGCTGGAGGGTTGCTCCTGTCCAAAGGGGAACTGAGACTGCTGGGGAAAGGTTTCCCTTTTTCTTTCCTGCACATGAGTTGTTCTCAGACATGTTACAAGTCGGGGAGAGACTGAGCCACGATCACTCATGACCAAATTCTTAGCATCTATTTACGTTTCTGTTCCTCCTCCTCGCTTCACTCATGGTCCTTGAGATCTCCTCTCAAGTATACTACCTGGGTACAAGCGCTGACTCAGGTGCTTCACGGGGAACCCAGGCAAGGACAAGATAGGAGAGAAGCCAGGACTCCGACTTCGAGGTCAGGGGGCACACATACATAATTACACACATGTGCACGCATGTGCACATGCTTTGGTCCATGTCCATATCAAGCAGGTGGAGCTCCAGAGTGTTTCCAGAGCACCTCATGAATTCTTAGGGGTCCCCAAAAGAGCCGAAAGTATGTATTTCCCCAGACCTCTACTGGACATGGGTTCCTGTGACCTGATGGGCACTAGTATTCAACCCCAGATGCCGTGACAGCAGCAACCGCCTTAGACCTGGGCCGGCATCAGATGCAGGCAGAAGCTGTCTCCATGATGTGATTTAAGGGCGCCATTGGGCTCTGCAGTGTGAGTACATTACATGGGTGGGGTGACACGTTCACCTCAGGCTGTTTGCCACGCCAGGGTGAGTTGGAGCTTGCAGAGGAGGAGGAGGAGGCAGGCCCAGGTGAGCGCCACATGCCCACTCCCCCTTTAAGCTACCGTTCACCGATGACCTGTTGAGTCAGCATCATGCAAACACTTCAGTGCCCATCAATCTTTTCGTAACCCATCCTTCACAGTAGAATCACCTGGAGCAACTGGAAGATGCCAGTGCTAGTCCCTGCTCCCTATTTGTTTTAATTTGTCTGAGGGTGGGGCTGGGGCATCCAGAAAGTTCCTCATAGTTTTCGTGTGCAGTCAGGTTTGAGAGCCGTGGGTACTAATTGCCTTTTTTCCCCTCTCAGTCTGGCCTTCCCAGGGAGACATTCTTACCCCCTACTCTGGAGAATGGGAAGCAGTGAGTGCACTTGGAGAATTTAAGTCACACAGTCAGTTGGCAATGGACCAAAGAGGCAGATGCGGTCGCCCGACTCTGAAACATCAGGCTCCAGCATAGAACGCTTGTCAAATTCCTCTTTTAAACACTCCGACATAGAGGAGGGCAAGTGCGTTTTCCGGGAGAGGACATTAGCAAGACCAACAGCAGACTAGGAATTGTTGTTTTTTGTGTTTTTTTTGCAGCCCTATGCTTCATCTTAAAAATGCCTCATTTGTTTTTATAAAAACACAAGACTTTACATAAATTTCTATAAAATGATACATCAGGAGGACAAAATGGGTTGGTTCGTGCCGCACCGTGGTTGCAGGGGGTCACGTTCTGGTTGGAGCTGCTCAGCCCTGCACTGTGCTCCACCTCCCTAACGGACAGCAGAGACTAGGGGGTCACTGTGAGGACAGCAGAGATTAGGGGGTCACTGTGAGGACAGCAGAGACTAGGGGGTCACTGTGAGGAGATGGACGGGGATGGAGAAGGGAGAATGTGGGCAGGAAAAGTGTTGAAAGTCTGAGGCTCCTTCGAGGGCAATTCCGTTACTATTTCCCGCCGTATTGGAAAAGGAAGTTCTTGGCCTTGGAAGATGCGGGCAGGAAAGCTTGGTGCGGAGACAGAAGCTCGTACAGTGAATTTCACTTCTCTTTCCGGGGTCAACAAACGTTTTCCGTAAAAGGTCAGAGAGTAAACTTTGTGGGCTTCTGGACCATCTGGTGTCTGTCACAACTCCTCAGCCCTGTTGGTGCAGCACAAAAGCAGCCATAGACACTACAGAAATGCTTGGGTGTGTCTGTCATCTAATAGAATGTCATTTACCAAAACAGACAGGCAGACCGGATTTGGCCTGTGCTGGTTTGCAGAACTCAGCTCTGTTTTGCTTACTTACAGGCATGACTGAGACCATTAGCTACATTCTTCCTTTCCTCATCTAATTCATCTGTAAAATATCAAAGCAAGGGCTGGGCTGGGTACTTATAACAGCTACCAGTTTTGCTCTCTGAACACACACAGGCACATACACACGTGCACACATATGCACTGCTGTTGCTAATCTTCTCATCCTGGATTCAGTTTCTGGGTGAGAACAATGGGGCTTAGGACAATCTGATCTACTGCTTCACATGTACTAAGTAGGCTGGAATTTGTACCTGGGCCAGATTCTTTTCTAGGCTATAGCCGTCCTTTTAAGCAATTGTTTGAAAATACTTGTAGCCCACACAGCTACGAGACTGTGATTCCATTTACTTCCTCTGTGTGGCTCTTTGCCTGACATACAGACTGTGCACAAATGTACCAGCCAAGCCATTTTTTAAAAACAATGTGACTGAGATTGAAACCTGTTCAGGGGAGCATGCTGACTTGGCTTCCTGCAGTCGATTCCAGGAGACCGGTTTCCATCAAAGCCCTGCCCCCCGCCTCAAGGAAGTCGTTGGGAATGCACCTGAAGTGGCTGTTTATTTCTGACCTGCCGGCTGTGTCATCATCACAGGGTCTTACACACACGTGGAGAGTCCAGGCCCGATGACACTAGTCTGCTAAACACAGTACGTGCACTCTCTGTGTGCCATTGGGCTTCAGTGGCCTCTCTGCTCACCCTGTCACTGGTCTCCCCTCTACTTAAATCGGCCCACCATGTACTCATGTGTCCAGCAGTTCTGGGTGTCCAAATGGAGACCAAGAGTGTGGTCCCTGCACTTGCGCTCTAGAAGCTGTGGTTAGATCTTAAAGCTGTTACAGGTATGGCGGCGTATAATTCTTCCAACAGCCTTATAAGGTAGAGATTATTACCTCCATTTAACAGGCGGGATGATGTGGGCTAGGGTGGTGCCTCCCCCCCTTGGAGAGCTGGGTAAACTTGGCTCAGTTTGGGAT